TTGAACCAATGCACCACCAGCAACCTCCTTTAGGGAAGGGAATGAATTACTTAGATTTATTTAATGCTTTAAACTTTTAATTGTTAGGGACGAAAAACATGGGCAATTTATGATAATTTAAAATGCAAAAGTGAAGTTAGACTTCAAAATTAGAATAAAAATCTACGGATAAAGAAAGCAAAAACACAGGTTAGCACAATGGATCGTTGCACCTGAACACGTTCACACTGTAGGCAGTGGGATCATTGGCATAATAAAAACAATATATAAATCTGACTACAACACCTACATTTTCCGGGTAATATAGATCGACTTTTCATTTCACTGGCAATTTAATTTAGTGAAACAATCATCGGTAAACTCGTGATGGTGCATCTGAAATTTGACTTCAACATCCCTCCCTCGCAGCCAACTGTGATGTTCCTCGCAAACCTTGGTAAAAAATGAAATTTCATTTGCAATAAAACTAAACAAACAAGTAAATTAATCGGTTAGCTGAGGCACTGGACAGCTGTTTGAGTCTTATCAGCAGTGCGCGAATCCTTTGACCTAAATAGAGATCGCGAACACGGGACCTCATCACAGACGGAGCGTAAACATACTTCATACTTGGGCCACCAGGTAGCTGACCACAGGATTTTTTTGTTTTCATTTTCTTGGTACAGGATATAGCACAACTGATCTTTGTGGGCATCACATCTTGTGCATCTCAGCACAAACCTTCGGGGTTATGACGCGGTTGGAAACTTTCACAACTTGACTGCATGTTCCTCTGAATATGATCGGTAGATTGGATTGGATTGGACTGCCTAATGAATTCGGACGGATCAGAGGTGCCTGGTGTTCAGGTGGGCCGTATGTTCGCACAGAGTTCGCGATCCCCGCTTGGTTTGGTAGATTCACATTGGAGATGAGACCCAACCAGTTCGAAACAGGTGTCACGTGATTCTTGGGTCTTCAGTTCACGCTTCTTATGCTACCTCACACGACAACTTCTCTATATGAAATATTTTATCCCTGAATGTTCCTTTTGTCCTAATAACGAGTCATTGAATTATTGGAACAAATGGTGGTAGATTATTTTACTCGATAACCTATCCGGAAACAAAATAGACATGTGGACAAATTTTCAAACTTTCCCCGTTCGAAATAAATGAGCTTTCGGGAGGAAAAAAACTTAAATTCCCCGTGTACCAGCTGTCCAAACAAATTCGTGCCCCAATGCAGGATTTCAGTCAAAAGTTGACCACTTTCGTATCACGTTATCCTTATTGTTGTATGTACATCATAGGGAAGCTAGGTCCGTTCAAGAATGTCCAACCGCATAGCCGGTCGTATGCTTCCAGGAAAATTTTGTTCAGTTATTCACATACTACTGGTTTGGAAATATTCTGTGAAGACGATCAAGCCACGTTTGTTGCAGTTAGTAGCGTCTAACCCACCTTCAGAAAACATCCAATCATAGCACCGATTCTTCGTTGAACTGGTTCTGAAAGAGCTGTCTATCCAAAAGTCGCCCTTTGTTGCAAACAAGGCTATTGCGACGAGAGTACACTTCCTGGCTACAAGTATATAAATGAAGTGACAAAAGATTACTGGATACGCATTCCTGACTAGCGGCAAGTACCGCGAAACCGGTCGTGGGCTTCCGGGGAAATTTTGTCCGGTCATTCAAATACTACTTATTATGATATCTATGTGTTTCCGTTCGGGCGTCATAACATTAGGCGAATAATAACAGATGATCAGTGGCTAGCTGTCAATGTCTGTGTGTGTGCACCGCGGGATGTTTCATATCAACTCCTGTACAAAGTTATTGCTTTTTCCAATTCACTGATTGCTCTCCTGGTTCGCTATTTTTCCTCTTGCTCATCAGTTTTCCTTTCACACATACATGGACCAGATCGCAATCACCTGCCGATTGTTTTGACACAACCCTACTTGTGTGTGTCTCGAGAGCAACAGGCAAATGTGTTGAAATTTGGTGCCTGAAGACCAAGCCAGAGGCGCTGTTTTGTTCATCAGTCCACGGCAGAGGGCACAGATGTTGTTCTTGCTTTGCCCCTCTCTTTCTCTCTCTGTACCTCTCGCGGAGTGATTCGTGGGGGCGAATTAATTAGTGAGATAAAGCCATTTGGGATGTGAACAAAATCCCGGATCCCATTCAATTAGGGGTGGGGTTTGGGGTGGATGATGGCAAAGAGCAGGCCAAAACAGAGGATATACAGGTCGAAAGGAAAAACTGTTCCATAATACGACAAATGCCTTATTTCGTTTTGAACTGAAACCCGTGTTTTCTGTTTGACCATCATCACTGGACCCATTTCATTTCTTTAACAAACCAATGAGTACCTTTTTGGGTTTATATTGTCCCTATATATGCACTGTCAACCAGAGGTCGTTTTCGTTGGTTATTGTAGTTAGTTATCGAGGATCGTTGGTTGTGTGGATTTCACACCCACATTTCCTAATTTTACACCAGCATTAGTTTTTACCCTTGTTGAGTTAATCCAGTCCATCGAATGACTGACTTCTATCCCCACAATAAATCACATTCATAGTGACTATGCACAGTTAGTTATTTCCTAGCAAATGTTTAATTGTCAACCCATTTTTTCCATTCAAACATAATTATGGGATAAAGTAGAAGCTTCTTCCAAACAATTCCAGGTTTAAGTAGTCGTAGTTGCTCAAAATACTAGGAGCATTAGTGAAAATTAGTGCTACAAATAACGGACAGCAGGACCAGATTGTTTTGAAATTCTATTATCAAGCATTACATTGACCGTTTATCAGCTATAGTTACAATATTGATTTGAGCTGGCTATCCTTAAGACTTAACCTTCATGCAAAATCCTCGTTTCTTCCAATCAATCAATCATACCCTTGGGGAAGCATCAGAGACTCTAGTTTCGCTCTCATTAGACCTCATCAATAGTGCACATCTACCCTCCCATCCGGGCTTTCAACCCCAAACCATCCGGTGTGTTACCATTGCACCAACCAGCACATCCCAGGGCTGAACCGAATTACCAAAACATGTTTGTTCAGGTGTCGTCTTCAGTGAGTGTCAGTGAACTTAATTTTGGGCCCGACAGCAACGAGGGGAGACACAGAGCGGACCATTTGTGAAATCCCATCGAACATCTCCCACCAAATCAGGTCTTCCACACAAGTCACGGACTGACGTGCCACAAAACTACCAGGCTATGCAAGTAATTTCCATTTTACTCACAGTTACTTGTGAATGGTGGCGTGAGATGATCGATATTATTATTCGCATGTTACGGTCAGTTCGTTGTCTATACGTCAGTAAATTTAATACAACCCTGTGTAGTTTCAAGGTTACTTTCACCGTTGTACTGCGTACTACACGAAATAAAATTCCCGGTTGTTTTGACAGTTTGTTTACGTTGTCAGCATTGCAAAAGTATGCTGCTGTGTTGTGAACGAAATTTTTTTTAGTATTTCAGTGGACAACTGACGTAATTTACTAGTTTACAACATGCATAAGTGCTTAGGAATAAAGGATAGGTCAAACGAAATGAGATGGAGGGCGGGGTGCGATTGGATTCGATTTCCAGGATAATGCAGTCGTACACGTGAATTAAAAGCAAGAGCGACGAAAAAGCGGAGATTCTGTACATCCGTTTGACCATGTTCTAAAGGAGTGCTAAATGGGATTGTGTCAAATTAGTTGTTGCGTAATACAGATAGATTGAAAGCGTGTTCTTGTGCTGAGACTGTTGGACAACAACACTCTACTATCTCACATGATCACACCAAACCGATTAACTTTATGTACCCCCTCCGTCTCACACACACAGGTCGATAAGAGTCAGACACCCAGTTATTCGGTAATATTTTGTTCTTTTTGTTGTTTCAGCTGCGTGCTTTGAATTTACATGAGGCACGCTTACTACGAGGACAGGATAGATAAATAGATGCGTAAGAGGATCGTTTTCTATCATTGAATGAACCGTTCAGTATATTTGCCATCATCAATAATCTTTAAGCGTAAACGGATTCTCAAATGGTTGAAAGCCCAAATTGATTAAATTCAAACAATTTGTTTTCCTCATTCGACGTGAGGGGACTAAACAGTCCCCCCTCCCCCCGGAACACAGATAACGAGTATACATCTCGTCTATCTCCAAAGTCGCGTATAACTCCCCAACAAACATCATTTGTAATTTCTGTTACCCCCCACACGGCCGTGTACCTCTAAACTAAAGATTTCACCTTACACATTTGCGCTCGAGACCCGGCAGACACTCAAGGAAATTGTTCAAGACCAATGAGCCGAACCTGTTTCGACCGCGCCAGTAATATTTTATCGTGAGTGCTTGTATATCACTGAAACGTTTTGGTTCATGGTGTTTTGTTTGCTTTGCCTTGCAGAGTTAACTTTAACCCCGTGCCAAGAAAGACCTGTGTGCAGTGTTTCCTCGCCCATCTGTGTCCCGCATCTCTATCGCCGTTCCCCGCAGTCGTTCGTCGTCGCCTGCAAAGCCTCGAATCATCTGCAGCTGAGATAATACGAGTCGAGGGACGACATCCTTTTGCGTGTCTGTGTTCACACCGCTGCACTACGAGAGACCGGAGTACAATACACTACCACCACATAGCATTCTGAGAAAGACAAATGTGACATAAAATGAACGCCAAAGAAAGGGAGATCAATCTGTAACTGATTCCGCCCTATTTCTGGCCTATCGAATTTACATGGAATACAAAATTTAAAACAAATTCACCAAATTCCATGCTCTGTAAATGTAAGTCTCATGAAATCTGGAGTTTCGTTCATACTTAGATGAACGATATGAAAAACGTAATCCTCAGAAGTTTTCCAGTATCACCATAGCCTGATATTGTCCAAGAGAACATTATCAACATACCACGATATCAATACATCACAATTCAATGAAAAATACAAGACAATTGAGTGGTTATTGTTCCAGTAAAAATCGTAAGGTCTATTCTCGGTTCCATCAACTCACCCTCATGACATTGAAACATGTCCATTTTATTGTTCTCATCCTGAGTTCGCGAGCGTCGACGACCAAAAAACCACGCGGGTTGTTTGATAAATAAGATCACAATAATCACGATGAGCAGTGCCCCAATCACGGTGGTCACACTCATCAGGACACGAATTGTTGGACTCAACTCGTTCCCAACTGGTTTTCTTTCCATGGTGCTCAGATTTCTGTCCACTTGTGCGGAACACGGTCCAATCTGGGTGGTCACATTCACCGACAATTCCACATACAGATCTGGTAGACCACGAATGGCAACTGACAAATCTAGGAAACTGGAAAGTGACGTGTCCATTGCCCCGCCGTCCTGTGCAACAATTCTCAACGTGTACTTTTTGCCGATCTCATCGAAACGAATTTTGCGAAGTAAATAAAGACATCCACTTGAGTGATCTATGCTAAAGGTTCGCTCAACTTCGGGTTGTGTGTTTGGATAACGGTCTTGGACACATCCGGATACCAGTTTGTATTTCACCTGACCATTAACTCCGTCATCGGGATCGAATGCGGAAAACTCGGCGATGGGCTGCAACGCGTCATCCATGGTTGAAGTTGGATTCGACGAGGTAGCCAAATAAGATGAATACAACTCGGGGAATGCGTGGGTTAAATTCTGTACAAGGGTTTGATTGGTCTGGGAAACCATGATAGTCCGAAATGCCGAGGGAGTTGTCGACAGACGTTCTACATTCGTAGCCCCTAGCAGATGACAAGGTTGAATCGGGAGTCGAAATCGCGGGGCATGGTCATTCTGATCCAGAATATTTACAATCACATCGAGGCTGGATGTCTTCGGTGGACTTCCACGATCGTGTGCGACTACCGTGATACGGTACTGACTGGCATCTAGTTCTCGATCAATAATTCTTACATTCGTTATCACACCAGTGATTTTGTCGATTGTGAATGGATTCGGTTCCACCACCCAAGAACTGTTTGTCAAGCGACGCAAGCACTGAACCAATTGATATCTCACTTGACCAGCTTCACCGTGATCGGGATCCACCGCAGTGGCTCGTCCCATCACCC